TCCCAGCTACTCAGGAGGCTGAGGCAGGAGAATTGCCTCCTGAGTAGCTGGGATTACAGGCACGCACCACCACGCCCAGCTAATGTTTTGTATTTTTAGTAGAGACGGGGTTTCACCATGTTGACCAGGATGGTCTCGATCTCTTGACCTGGTGATCCACCCGCCTCGGCCTCCCAAAGTGCTGGGATTACAGGCTTGAGCCACCGCGCCCGGCGGAAATTATTTCTTTACTTAGTTTTACTCCTAGATAATCAGATACTAAATTATCTCACCTTTCAAATAGTTGGGTTTTTTTCAACTACAAAAGCAACGCTCATTATTTGAAAACATATGCATTTATAAATCATAAAATGTGACAAATTCTCTCTAATCCTACTCCTTAGAGACAGCCAGTATTAACTCTCTCTCTTTTTTTTTCCTGGCCAACATTTCTGGAAAGCAACTGTTAACTATTGTTGTTGCATATTCCTCTGGTTAAAAAAAAAAAAAAAAAAAAAAAAGCCTGGGCTGGGTGCAGTGGCTCATGCCTCTAATCCCAGCACTTTGGTAGGTGAAGGCAGGTGGATCATGAGGTCAGGAGTTTGAGACCAGCCTGGCCAATCTGTTGAAACCCCGTTTCTACTAAAAATACAAAAATTAGCTGGGCATGGTGGTGCATACCTATAGTCCCAGCTACTTGGGAGGCTGAGGCAGAATTGCTTGAACCTGGGAGGCGGAGGTTTTTTTTTTTTTTTTAGACGGGGTTTCACCATGTTGACCAGGATGGTCTCGATCTCTTGACCTCGTGATCCACCCGCCTCGGCCTCCCAAAGTGCTGGGATTACAGGCTTGAGCCACCGCGCCCGGCCTGAGGCGGAGGTTATAGTGAGCCAAACATTTTATTTTTAAAGCGACTTATGCATACTGATTTTTTTTTTTTTAAATAAGTGGTTATCTAGGAATTGCTTGAGATATGCATACTGTTTTATAACTTGCCTTGTCACTTAATTTATCTCTTTTTAATGGTTTTGTTGGCTTCCACTGTATAAACATATCATGATTTAACCAATTTTTTTTTTTTTTTTGGAGACAGAGTCTTGCTCTGTTACCCAGGCTAGGGTGCAGTGCTACGATCACGGCTCACTGCAGTTCTGCCTCCTGAGTTCAAGCGATTATCCTGCTTCAACCTCCTGAGTAGCTGGAACTACAGGCGAGTGCCACTACATCCAGCTAATTTTTGTATTTTTAGTAGAGATGGGGTTTCACCATGTTGGCCGGGCTGGTCTCGAACTCCTGACCTCAAGTGATCCACCCAACTTGGCCTCCCAAATAGTTGGCTGATGTAACCAATTTTGTAACATTTCAAACCAACTATACCAACTGTGTGGTTTTATTTAAAATAAGTTGAGAATTCAATGTTACAATGTTTATGAACATTTTACTTCTTAAAATAGGAAGTGCCATATTGCCCTGTTAAATAATTGTATTAATTTGCTTTCAGAATACTGGTTATTTTTGTAATTATTAATTTAAATTTCATTTCTTTATATGTGACAACCACCTTTTCATGTTAAAAGGCATTTATAGCCGGGCGCGGTGGCTCAAGCCTGTAATCCCAGCACTTTGGGAGGCCGAGGCGGGTGGATCACGAGGTCAAGAGATTGAGACCATCCTGGTCAACATGGTGAAACCCCGTCTCTACTAAAAATACAAAACATTAGCTGGGCATGGTGGCGCGTGCCTGTAATCCCAGCTACTCAGGAGGCTGAGGCAGGAGAATTGCCTGAACCCAGGAGGCGGAGGTTGCGGTGAGCCGAGATCGTGCCATTGCACTCCAGCCTGGGTTACAAGGGCGAAACTCCGTCTCAAAAAAAAAAAAAAAAAAAAAGGCATTTATAGAGATATATATTGTTTACACCCTTAATTTATATCATTTCAAATCCATTTATGACAATTATTTGACAGATTAGATTATAAAAACAGGATTCTATCAAATTGTTTTAAGAACATTTATAGTTCCTTCCTCCCCTGGCCCCAAAGGAGTCTCGCTCTGTCACCCAGGCTGGCGTGCAGTACTGCGATCTCCACTCACTGCAATTCTGCCTCCTGAGTTCAAGCAATTAGCCTGCCTCAACCTCCCAAGTAGTTGGAACTACAGGCTCATGCCACTACACCCAGCTAATTTTGTATGTTTTAGTAGAGACAAGGTTTCACTACATTACTCAGGCTGGTCTCGAACTCCTGACCTCAGATGATCCACCCGCCTCAGCCTCCCAAAGTGCTGGGATTACAGGCATGATCCACCACACCTGGGCTTACTGTTCTATTTTTTTATTTTGTTTTTTTTTTTTAAACCTTTTTTTTTTTTTTTTTTTTGAGAGGGAGTCTTGCTCTGTCTCCCAGGCTGGAGTGCAATGGCGCAATCTCAGCTCACTGCAACCTCTGCCTCCCAGGTTCAAGCAATTCTCCTGCCTCAGCCTCCTGAGCAGCTGGGATTACAGGTGTGTGCCATTATGCCCGGCTAATTTTGTGCATTTTAGTAGAGACAGAGTTTCACCATGTAGGTCAGGATGGTCTCTTATCTCCTGACCTCGTGATCCGCCCACCTTGGCCTCCCAAAGTGCTCGGATTACAGGCGTGAGCTACCACGCCCAGCTATTTTAATGTTTTATTATTTTTAGTTACCAGATTGACACTTGCTCATTAAATGAAGTGACAAAATGAAAAAACAGTATAATCTCCCCTTTTCTCTATTTTCAGTTCAACCAATTCTTGTGCCTCAGCCTCCCAAGTAGATGGGATTACAGTGGCCCGCCACCAAGCCCGGCTAATTTTTGTATTTTTAGTAGAGATGGGGTTTCACCAGGCTGGTCTCGAATTCCTAACCTCCAGTGATCGGCCCACCTCAGGCCTCCCAAAGTGCTGGGATTACAGGAAGGAGCCACTGCGCCTGGCCATCCCATGAGTAACAATTTTACTAGTCTAATGTGTATCCCTCAACACAAACATACACAAGGTGTTTTGTTTGTTCCAAAAATATAATTACGCATAATATATGTAGCTCTGAAACTTTTTTAATGTAATATTTTATGGCCATTCCCTCCAGGTGTACATATAGTTCCAATCCATTGTTTTTCATAACTATGTAATTTCCAGAGTATGAATGCACCAATTTATTCATTTCCTTATGTAGGAACATGCATGTCATTTCTAGTTTTTGTCACTACAAAGAATTCTACAAGAAATTTGTAGATATCACATTCACAGATGAGCCTGAAGGTCAAAGGGTACATATGTGTACTTTTAATTTTAATATATATTACAAGATGACTTCACACACCACACTACCAGACAAAGGAGTGCCTATTTATCCACCTTCTTTGACAGGTGAAAACTGTTGTTCTTTTTTTTTTTTTTTTTTTGAGACGGAGTTTCGCTCTTGTTACCCAGGCTGGAGTGCAATGGCGCCATCTCGGCTCACCGCAACCTCCGCCTCCTGGGTTCAAGCGATTCTCCTGCCCCAGCCTCCTGAGTAGCTGGGACTACAGGCACGCGCCACCATGCCCAGCTAATTTTTTGTAGTTTTAGTAGAAACGGGGTTTCACCATGTTGACCAGGATGGTCTCGATCTCTTGACCTCGTGATCCACCCGCCTCGGCCTCCCAAAGTGCTGGGATTACAGGCTTGAGCCACCGCGCCCGGCCCTGTTGTTCCTTTTAAGTGATAATCTTGACTAGTAGTGTGGTTAAGTATCCTTTCAAATGTTAATGACCAATTAGTTTTCCTTCTCTCGGGAAGAGCTCCTCATTGCCTTTGCTTTTGGTCAGTTGGTAGGGGCTCATTTCCTGTTGGGAATGTCTAATCCTTTGTGTAACTAATCTTTAAGACTATCTTCTAGTCTATTTCTCCTTTGTTAACAAAGTCAAGAAAAAGGTTTTAAAAAATACAATCACACAGGTTTATATTTTACTTCAAGACATCTCAGTTATCTGTATTGCTTTATAGTTCAAACCATATTGCTTTGATTAGAGGCGGCTTTTTAGTAAATTTTGATCTGAAAAGGCAGACATTCCTTATTTTTCTACAGTATCTTGGTGCCACGCAGTTTTCATACTCGTTTCTTTGTAACATATTTTAAGCCATCGTTAAATAGCTATAATTAAGAAGAAACATTCATTTACACTTTTACTTTTGTCAACCTTCTGAAGGCTAGTGTTACACAGAGAAATAAGGCCATCCCTGCCTACAAGTTGTCCCAACCCTGATCAATGCCTCACTGGGGAATGAATCCAGCATGAAAACAACGCACAAAGACAGAACTCTCTTCGGCTTCCGTAGGAAGCTGAAATGAGAAAGGAAACAGACAGTAGGAGACGGTCAATTAGCATTTCTTTAAAAACCAGACGGCCGGTGTAGAAGTTAGCAAGTTGGAGTGTGAAACGCAGATTACCCTAGCTCTACCCTATGGCAGTCCCCAGAGCAGAGACGGAGTCGTATGCCGGGCTCTCCCTCACCACCTCCGCAGTCTTTTTACTGAAAAACCGCAGTAGAAGGCGGAAACCGTGGAGAGGTGATGCAAATCTTCCGGTCCGAGAGGTAGCTCGCTTCCGGTGAAGCCTCAAGGGGTGGGGTCCTGTCCCGCCCCAACCGCCGCGCCTGAGGTTGTTCGTTGGTTGTTTGCATTCGAACTGCACTTCCCAGTAGGCCCTGGGGTTAGAGTGGCCGTAGCTGGAGTGGTGCCAGCCCGTCATAGATGACCGGAGCCAGCCTCCTGCCTTCCGTGTTCGAGGCAGAGCCACAGAGAGACCGGCTGCAGCCGTCCTGGCCTCCCTCTGGCCCTGAGAGCTCCCCTGGCTTGCCTCAAGCCTCGCCTTCTCAGACTTCGCGCTCCGAACGGGGAGACCAGGCTTCTGCACCGGAAACAAAGCACCGGTTGTGACGTCACAGCTGCAGAGCGCCCGGCCTCCCAGAAGGCACTGCGTCCCTGGCGTCCTCAACTGGCGGCGGCGCGCACAAATGGTCGCCGCGGCTTGTGAGGGCGCTCGGAAGGGCGAGGGGAGGGCTTGGCCAATCGCGCCTTGTTTTCCTGTCTACCCCGGAGCCTGAGTCTCTGAGCCGTCCCCAGCGAACGCTCAGGGGCTGCAGAGGCCCCGAGAGGTGAGGGGCTCTTTGAGGGCGGGAACCAGGCTGAGGCCGCCTCTGGGGAGCGGAGCGTGTCCGTTGCTGAGGGAGCAAGGCCGGGTAGGGAGCCTGGTTAGCGCCTCAGGCAGGGGCGCCCGCTGGGCTTAATGGTAAAAGTGTTCCTTGACCAGCGGAGAGGCCCCAGAGTGAGCCTGGCCCGAAGGGCCCTAGTGGGATGTCGTCTGCCGCTCTCAGCAGAGCTTTGACGCCGGAGAGGAGTCGGCAGGCGGTGTGTGGACCCCTCCTTGGCCTTGCGTCTGCTCCCCGGGAGAGTCGCCAACCGCCACCGCCTCACAAAAGGCAGCGGTGGGAGCTTCGGTCCGAGGGGTACAGTATGGCCAGATTCAGTGACCAGCGTACTTCTAGGCAGATGTCCTCGGTATTGACCCCAGATTTCCTGTCTTCTAGCCCGTTGCTCTTTCTCCAGGCCTGATTTAACCTTTCCTGGTGGGTTTAACACGCCGTATTTCTCTTTTCTTTGTTTCTTTCTCCTTTTATTTTCTTTCCCTTCCCTGACTTCCTCCTTTCCTTTCTCTTTTCTTTTTTTAGAGTCACGGTCTTGCTCTGTCACTCAGGCTGGAGTGCATTGGCACGATCACAGCTCACTGCATCCTCGATCTTCTGGGCTCAAGCAATCCTCCCACCTTCCGAGTAGCTGGGACAACAGGCTTCCGTCACCATGCCCAGCTAATTTTTATATATAGATACATGTAAAAAAAAAAAACAGAGAGAGAGAGAGAGTGTGAGTGTGAGAGAGAGAGAGTGTGTGTGTGTGTGTGTGTGTGTGTGTGTGTGTGTGTGTGTGTTAGGGTCTTGCTATGTTGCGCGGACTGGTCTTGAACTCCTGGGCTCAAGCGATCCACCTGCCAGGGCCTTCCAAAGTGCTGGGATTACAGGCGTGAGCCACCGGTGCCAGGCCACACTTCGTATTTCCCAGGAGGCTGGACCTTGGCCTTCTCCCCGCCACCTTTACTCCCTTCCCTTTGGCCCTTGAGGGTTGCTCAGTCTCTGGTTTTCATTCTCAGGATCTTCCTTTCACATTTTCCTAAGCATATCCTGTTCATATACTGCATTTCAGTTATGATTTCCCTCCCCCAGCTGTTGTTTTCTTTAGATCTCCTGTAGCCTTATTATCCATGCCAGGTATTGGAGTGCAGTCATGTCCTCCCTGGTCTTATGGGTAATCCCTGGTTTCTCTGTCTACAGCTTGGCTCTCTAGCAGATTTCTTCCAGTAAGAGGTAGCTCTGGAGGCCCCCAGAAACGAGTGTGGTGTGTGTTTGCAAGGCATGATGACTGCAAAAGTGGTTCCTATGCCCCCAAAGCCAAAGCGGTCATTTATACTGAGAGTTCCACCAGACTCCAAGCTGGGCCAAGACCTACGTCGGGATGCCACTAATGGGCCCAAGACCATCCACCAGCTAGTGCTGGAGCACTTCCTCACCTTCTTGCCCAAGCCAAGCCTGGTCCAGCCCAGTCAGAAAGTCAAGGAAACCTTGGTTATTATGAAAGATGTGAGCTCAAGACTTCAGAACAGAGGTGAGAACCTTTTGCTTGTTTCACTGGAAGAGAAGGAAGAGGTACTACTGGGGTCTGAGATAGGCTTCTATGTTAGTAATGAATTGAAGTTAGGATGGCGTATATTGTAAAAGGAGTCAATTCTAGTGTTGGAAAGAGGAAGTACTTCTCAAGTGCTGGTTGTGGGTAAAGCCACAGAATAAACAGTGTGCATCTTTCTGTAGTGTCAGTTTTACCCAAACATTCTGGGGGAAATGTCTTTTTAGAATAAATCAGATGAATTACTGAGTTAGGTGTATGTGGAATTTTAGAAATTTTGTGCTTTTTCTGGGCATCTTCACATTTTGCATTGCCCCAAGCTCTCCTTTAGTAATACTCTGGGAAATTTTGAAAGGTGCTTAGAGAAGTCGTTCTTTTCACAATAGGGAGATGTCATACGTTTAAGACCGTGGAGTTTATGCTTGAACTCTGTAAGGGCTCACAGGAGTAGAAAAGGCCATGTGTTACCTGTCAAAGGAATGAGGACAGCATGGCCTCAAGGTATGGGGGGGGTCTCTGTGTTAGAGTCATTGAGTTTTTTCACTAACTACACCTTTCTCTATCCCTAGTGCATCCTCGTCCCTTGGTGAAGCTTCTGCCCAAAGGAATCCAACAAAAACAAGAGACAGTGTCTCTGTGTTTGAAAGCTAACCCTGAGGTGGGTTTGGTTTTCCCATTCACTGCCTGAATGCATCACCTTCTGTGCTTGGACAACCTGTGTAAAAAAAATGCAATACTGGGCCGGGCGCCGTGGCTCAAGCCTGTAATCCCAGCACTTTGGGAGGCCGAGGCGGGTGGATCACGAGGTCAAGAGATCGAGACCATCCTGGTCAACATGGTGAAACCCCGTCTCTACTAAAACTACAAAAAATTAGCTGGGCATGGTGGCGCGTGCCTGTAATCCCAGCTACTCAGGAGGCTGAGGCAGGAGAATTGCCTGAACCCAGGAGGCGGAGGTTGCGGTGAGCCGAGATCGCGCCATTGCACTCCAGCCTGGGTATCAAGAGCGAAACTCCGTCTCAAAAAAAAAAGAAAAAAAAAATGCAATATTAGGATTTGGCCTTCTTGAGTGTTTTCCTTTTGATTTTTCCTTGAGCTCTTCTCACCCTGGCTGTCTAGTTTGTGTTGCACCTGTGTAGGATTTATAGGTCCCTCTTGCCATTCCTTCCCTTGATCTTTGTGTGTCAGCTCTTCTTATCAGTAGGGATGTCAGTGAACCTCAGTTACTAAGATGAAAGGGGCCTGTTGCTCTTTCAGGAGCTGGTGGTCTTTGAGGATTTGAATGTATTTCACTGCCAGGAAGAATGTGTGAGCCTGGATCCTACTCAACAACTCACCTCAGAGAAGGAAGATGACAGCAGTGTCGGCGAAATGATGTTACTGGGTAAGAAATCACAGCCTTTGTGTGTTCAGGTTGTACACTTTGGGAAAAGCACGTCCTTTATCTCTTCAGCTTTGGGGGATGATTTGCACCTGCTAAGCATAATGTGTGCACACATACACATTCTATTTTACTTTTGTTTTATTCAATGTGGCAGAGCCTTGCCACAGAGCTACCGCTGTGGGTGGCCATTTTCCCTGTATCTTGGGGGCAGTGAGGAGAGAGGTAGGCAAAACCTGCAGACATAGAAACTATGGGGAGACTGTTCTGAACCCATTTTCTGGACCCTATTCTCACAAAAAGTATATTTGAATGTTTTTGTTGAACACATGACTAACTCTTTTAATCCTTCTCCCCTTTTTGATGTTCAATTGATGTGAAGACTACTATCCTAAGTGAAAATATATTCTGTTTTTGATGAAAGTAATGTCTAACACTTAATGAGCACTTATATGCTGTTACATGCTAGGCACTAATCCAAATGCTTTTCTTGTGTTTATTGTCTCATGTACTTCTCACAGTAGTACTGAGTGGTACAGAAATTACTGCCACCTTGCTGATGACAGAACTGAGGCAGAGGGGGTTACAAAATTTGCTAAAGGTCCCACAGTTGTAAGCATTGGAGCAGGGACTGGGAATCTGACATCAGAATTTGCAGTCATGGATTTGCAGTCATGGCCCAGAGCTGTACTCCCTCCTGGATGCATTTCTCATAATTTTGTGGGCGAATTCCATATATGGTTGGTGAATGGGGCATTCGTTATTTGTCCTCATTTCCCAGTAATAGTTAACAAGTATCCCAGTGCTATGTATGAACTCATCGGGCAGCAGCCTCTCTATAATCTGCTTAGAGATGCTTCACCTCTTCTCTCAAATGCTGCAGCCCTAGGAGCACAGGCCCTCACAAATGTCTTTACTGAGTGCCTAACACTTTTTACTTTGCCTTCAGGGCTGATGAAGTTGTACAGAGAATAGGTTTTAGGAGTTGCCTGGGGTGACAAAAATCCATTATGACTGTCAAACTCTTAGCTGTAATATTCCATATGGTCAGAAGTCGTGGTATGTAACGAGTCTAGTTAATTTCTCACATGTTGCTCTATATAATACCATCTTTATTTTAGAGAAAAGTATAAAAAGATCACATTTGTTATACTGAGTTTTTCCTGAGTCTTGGGCAGAGCTAGCATTTATTTTGGGTGACTGGTTAGTGGATATATTGTGTTCAGGATCACTTTGACTATGCACTTTGGGCCCCTAAGACTCAGTTCTCACCCTGTATTCCCCTCTTCCTCCACCCTATACCTTGAAGCTGATAGCTTAAGCTTAGTCATTTACCAGCATTTCATACTTGTTTTTTCCTAAGGCAGGATTGGGTTCTGGAATTGCATTCATTAGGTTACAAAGATGCTGTATTTCTGCCTTTCGTAACCTTCCAATTTGGTTTGTAAGATAAGTCATTCATTAAAAGCTAAGCAATATGAAGTTTATTTAGATATAATAAGCTATCACAAGACTGAGGCAAGATTTGGAACCAGGGGCAGAGTTGGGAAGATGAAATAGATTTTAGTTGAGATTGAATCCATGCTAGGAAATAAAATGAGATTATCATTTGAATATTTGGTAATTAAGGATTGGAGCTCAGATGTAAGGATATAGGGGGGATTGGGGAGCCATCAATTTATAGGTGACAATAATAGAAACAGTAACATTTAACCAATTTTTGCAAAGGAAAAACTATAATGGATTCAACATTGTGGTGACTGGAATCAAAGGAGAATCCTTAATATAGGGGAACAGCAAATGTGTGTGTTGGCCAAATGAACCACCTAAAAATAAGGAAAAAGATAGAACACTTAAATGATTCCCAGTGAGATAATTCTTTTTTTTTTTTTTTTTTTTTTTTTTTTGGGGGGATTTTCATTTTTTTTCCCCCTCTAGGGGGAATTCTCCCCTTTGTCCAGTCCCCCCCC